TAAAAATAGAGCTACCCTATGACCCAGCAATTGCATTACTGGGTATTTACCCCCAAGACAACAAATGTAGTGATCCGAAGGGGCACCTGCACCCCAATGTTTATAGCAGCAATGTCCACAATAGCCAAACTGGAAAGAGCCCAGATGTCCATCAACAGATGAATGGATAAAGAAGATGTGGTATATATACACAATGGATTATTACTCAGCCATCAAAAAATGAAATCTTGCCATTTGCAATGATGTGGATGGAACTAGAGGGTATTATGCTAAGCGAAATAAGTTAATCTGAGAAAAACAATTCTCATATGATCTCACGGATATGTGGAATTAAAGAAACAAAACAGAAGATCATAGGGGAAGAGAGGAAAAAGTAAGACAAAACCAGAGAGGGAGAAAAACAAGATCTCTTAATCACTGGAAACAAACTGAGGGTTGCGGAGGGGAGGGGGGGTTAGGAGGATGGAGGGCACATGATGTAATGAGCACTGGGTTGTTCTATAAGACTGATGAATCACTGACCTCTACCTCTGAAACCAATAATACATTATATGTTAACTAATTGAATTTAAATTTAAAAAATGGAAAAAATAAAAAATGAAAATAAAAAACCCAGCCAGACCTCCTCACCTCATGAAAGCTGATGAAAGAAACCTTCCACTGGTGGCATTTTGTTTATCTTAACTAAAGAATTTTTCAATGAATATGGATTCCTTTTTTTATTTTGGAAAATCACCATGAAGTAAAACATTGATGGGGCACCTGAGTGGCTCAGTCAGTTAAGTGTTCAACTCTTTGATTTCGGCCCAGGTCATGATCTCAGTGTTCTGAGACAGAGCCCAGCGTCAGGCTCAGAGAAGGGCCCGGGGCCTGCTTAAGATTCTCTTTCTCGGGCGCCTGGTTGGCTCAGTTGGTTGAGCGACTGTCTTCGGCTCAGGTCATGATCCTGGAGTCCCGGGTTCGAGTCCCGCATCGAGTCCCGCATCGGGCTCCCTGCTCAGCGGGGAGTCTGCTTCTCCCTCTGACCCTCCCCCCTCTCATGCTCTCTCTCTCTCATTCTCTCTCTCAAATAAATAAATAAAATCTTTAAAAAAAAAAAAAAAGATTCTCTTTCTCCCTCTCCCTGTCCCCCGCCTCAAAAAAAAAAGAAAACATTGATTATCTGAATAGTTGTATCAAATTTTATGTACCATAATGTGATATTAACGTTACTTCAATACTCAGTTATTTAAGAGCCAATAAAGGGAAGCATGTATGATTTCTAATGACCCAGTAAAAATGGAGCAAATATTACAAGAGTGAGCTAACATTCATGTTCCCCTGGCACAAGAGCAAGCACTGAAGAGACCAGGAAGAAGTCAAGGGGAAATTATTCAGAATTAGTGCATTCAAAATTAACGATGTCAAAGGAGCCTTTTGAAAGAGCTGCCCCACCAGATGTTGGGTTTTCTGCAAGTCAAAGGATACAGTGCCACCTACTGGCCATGGAATTTGCCCAGCCGCTAGGAAGGGTTTGGGGGGACTTTGGTTCGGGGGCAAAACTGGCCCAGAGATTTGAGTCTCAAATTGTTTTGGTGTCTGTCCTCCTTCTCCAGAGGAGCCTCAGAACCCACTGAAGCTTCTTGTGCACAACAGACTCCTGGTTTCTAGACTCTCAGGGGAAGGAGTGGGAAATGATGTGATCTGGGTGTTGGCTGTGAGGAGCCAAACCACTCACTGATCTAAAACAGTGATTCTCAAAATCTGCTGCACATTCTAGTCACCCCGGGGGCTTAAGCAATCCCGATGCTCAGGCTGCCCTAGACCGATGGAGTGCTCTGAGATCCAGGCATCTGCGAGTTTTAAATCTTCTCAGGTGACTTCAACATACAGCTGAGAAGATTTAAAACCTCTCAGCAGGGCAGCGTCCTGTCTCCAGCTCATTTCCCCCAGTGCTGACCTTAGAGGACCTTCAGTCCAATGTAGAGACCAGCAGAATAACACGTACATGTTCCTGTGCTGTCCTAGGGCTATGATCAGAGGATGCCTCCCTCAAGGTCGGAGAGGCCCCTGTGTAAGAGTCCACCCCCCACTTACAAAAATAGCTTTGTTGAGGTATAACTGACATACAATAAGCATGTGTACATATGTACAGACGTATATGAAGTGCACAACTGGACAAGTTTTGAGTTACCTGTGAAACCATCACTACAATGAACCATCACCATGTAATGAACACACTCTTCAAGCCCGAGCTGGGAGAGCCCACTTTACATTGCTGTTTCACAATCATTTAATATTCCATGCCAGGCATTGTGCGGGGGAGAAGGAAACCCAGACTCACCATGCACCCCCCTTTCCTGGGGGAAGTGGCTTCAGGACGCTGTTGGGATGTGAAGGAGGCATACCTCTACTTGAGAGGACTACGGGGGGAAGGAGAGGACTGGAAAAAGCTGGTCAGAGGGGATGATGGTTTAGCTGATCAAGACAGATGGAGGTGATTATTAGACAGTTGAAGGAAAGGGCTTTTTTAAAAAAGATTTTATTTATTTATTTGAGAGAGAGGAAGAGGCAGAGCACAAGCAGGGGGAGTGGCAGGCAGAGGGAGAAGCAGGTTCCCCGCTGAGCAGGGAGCCCGATGGGGGACGCGATCCCAGCACCCTGAGATGATGACCTGAGTTGAAGGCAGATGCTGAACTGACTGAGTCACCCAGGGCCCCCTCCCCCAGTTTTTTAAAGTAAGATTTTAAGAAAAGGGCTTTCCCAGTGCAGGAAACAGCATGAGTGGAGAAATGGAGGTATGAAGAGGTTGGTTGTGGAGCAGCAGGTTCAGGTGGGGTGGGGGCATCAGGCAAAGCTGGAGTGGTTGGTGGTACCTGCCCGGTGACCAGTGATGAGCCAGGGGAGTCAGCCTCAGTTCTGTGAGCTTTCGCCTCTCAGTGGAGAACCCCTGAAAGCCTTAAGCAAGGGAGCATCGTGACCAGATTCGCATCTTAGAAAGTTCATTCTTTTTTATTTTTTATTTTAAAAGATTTTATTTATTTGACAGAGACAGACACAGCGAGAGAGGGAACAGAAGCAGGGGGAGTGGGAGAGGGAGGGAGAAGCAGGCTTCCCGCAGAGCAGAAAGCCCGATGCGGGGCTCAATCCCAGGACCCTGGGATCATGACCTGAGCCAAAGGCAGACGCCTAACGACTGAGCCACCCAGGTGCCCCTAGAAAGTTCATTCTGACAGCCCTCCAAGGCTGTGGGACAATCAGTTTGGAAAACCTTTGCAAAGTTCCCAGTGAGCAGAAACAAATGAATTGTAGGTCATATTATGTAAGAATCAAAAGCAACTTTGAATGTGAAAGTCCTTTTCATAAACATTACACATATGCCTATTTAGAGCATTCCTTTTATTTAAACAATAGCAATGAAAGCCTGTGAAAAACGGATGATACTCTGGTCATGAAGCCCAGAGTTTGTATGGCCCAGGACATTCACGAAGTGATGGAAACTGGCATGCTGAGGTGCAGTGGGCCACAAGGAAGGTGGGACTCTTTAGAAAAGAGGTTCCAACAGCCTGCTTCTAACACTGAATCCAGAATCATCTTCAAATGTAGGGGTGCGTGGGTAGCTCAGATCATGATCCCAGGGTCCTGGGATCAAGCCCCACGTCAGGCTCCCTGCTGCGTGTCAGGCTCCCTGCAGGGAGCCTGCTTCTCCCTCTCCTCCCAGCTCCTGCTTTCTCTCTCTCACATAAAAAAAAAATATTTAAAAAGCCAACCAATTTTTTTTTAAGATTTTATTTATTTATTTGAAAGAGATAGAGAGAGAGAGCACAAGTAGGCAGAGAGGCAGGCAGAGGGAGAGGGAGAAGCAGGTTCTCCGCCGAGCAGAGAGCCCGATGCGGGACTCGATCCCAGGACCCTGGGATCATGACCTGAGCTGAAGGCAGACGCTTAACCAACTGAGCCACCCAGGCACCCAAAAGCCAACCAATTTTAAGTTACATCTACATTACTTCTGCTGCTGTGAACTGATTAATGGCTAATGTTTTTACAGGTATTAATAGCTCCTAAGAGTGTTTCTTTTATCCCATTTACCACCTAGCCTTGTGAACACGAGAGTAAACATGAGTGGTGTCAGTGAGGATGCTTTCAGCTCCAAAAATAGTACTCACAGTGGACCAACAGTAAAGTCCAGATGCTTCAGGCATGGTCTGATCAGAGATCCCGCTCCATTTTTCCGTGGTTCTGTGTGTCAGCTCAGCAAAACTGAAGCAGTGAGGCCTCACATCCTTAAGCCCACTTTGTTAAGAGAACAAAGCGTTTCTTTCTCCAAGCCTTCTACTAAAATTAAGGCTTTATTCTAATTGTATCCACTTACGCCGTGTGCTCACTAAACCTATCACTGGCAGGGGGAATGGGGTTCCACTGATTGGCTTGGGCCAACCAAGACCCGCCGTTGGAGCTGGGGGTCAGATTGGTCCCACCCAAAATGCTTGGCTGCTTCATAATGGGAGAGAAGTAGGATGTGCATGGGGAAGCAGCCAGAAACATCTACTACACGATTAAACAATTACCCTGGGTGATCTAACAGCCCCTAATGAGGACTGCAGATATCAATCTAGTTTGCCATGTGTCATGTTTGCTATTGAAAGTGAGACTAGGGGCACCTGGGTGGCTCATTTGATTAAGTGTCAGACTCTTGATTTCAGCTCAGGTCATGATCTCAGGGTGATGAGATCAAGCCCCGTGTCAGCTCCATGCTGAGCGGGGAGTCTGCTTGAGATTCTCTCTCCCTCTCCCTCTGCACCTCCCCACCGCTTTAAAAATAAATGAATAAATCTTTTTTTTTAAGTTAAAGAAAGAGAAAGAAAGAAAGAAAGAAAGAAAGAAAGAAAGAAAGAAAGAAAGAAAGAAAGAAGAAAGAAAGAAAGAAAGAAAGAAAGAAAGAAGAAAGAGAAAGAAAGAAAGAGAAAGAAAAAGAAAAAAAAGAAAGAGAAAGGGAGACTCGCTGCTATGTGCATCACCGAAGGGCCCAAACACAAGGAAGGATGCCACCTACCAAAGACACTTTATTTGTTACCTCTTACAGTTAATAGTCAAGAACAAGTAACAGTAACAACAAATAAAAATAACTTGCAAGGAGACCAGACATTAGGCATAAACAAGGACACTATTAACATTAATGCGTGCTGGGTGTGTCTGCGTGCGCGCGGGCGGCCACAGCGAAGGCCGGGGCCTCCACGAAGGACCTCTGCACTCTGCGTCCTGAGCCCGGACATCCGGAGCCGAGGAGCCACGAGCTCCCTCTTTCACCATCAGCCAAACAGAATCTGCAGTTTCTCAAAGTGACCTCCAGCTCTTGCCCCTGGGGTGTTGTCTTCACACTTCCTTAGGCTCCAAGTCATGGGTAGGACGTGAACTGGAGGAAATGTCCGTTTGCTCATTGAGAAGAATCTGAGGATGAAGGCGGGTCCAGCGAGCGTTCTCCCACACTCATCCTCCCAGCCCAGCTCCCTTCTGCCTCTGTTCCTCTCACTCCTGGTTATGGTTTTTGGGTTTTTTTCCCTCCCCGCCTCTACCACCTACTGGCATTTCAAAAACTCTAGGGTGGGGCGCCTGGGTGGCTCAGTCGTTAAGCGTCTGCCTTCAGCTCAGGTCATGATCCGAGGGTCCTGGGATCGAGTCCCACATCGGGCTCCCTGCTTGGCGGGAAGCCTGCTTCTCCCTCTCCCACTCCCCCTGCTTGTGTTCCTGCTCTCACTGTCTCTCTCTGTCAAATAAATGAAATCTTAAACAAAACAAAACAAAACAAAACAAAAAACTCTAGGATGTACTCCATGGTGGGCAGTTCTAGTCTGGGCCTTCTAATTAACATCAAAAAGATCCTGCATTCCCAGTCACTTCTCCCCCAAAAGCTGAGAGGCAGGTCTTTTTTCTGTCTCCTTGGTGTGAGGCCAGGTCACAAGCTCCTGGCAGGGCAAGGGTGATGAAATGCCTACACTGGAGGGACTAAAGTAGCATCCTATTTTAACTTATTAGAGAATGAGCCCGAGAACCTTAGAAGATGGTATTTCTTCCCATGCCCTGGGACCGCCATAGCTGGTGCGTAAGAGTCTCTCAGAATTAGGTTACATATCTGTAGGCTATCAACTCAAAGCAACATTCTCCCAGGAGTCAACAATCCTGGGGGGCTTTCCTCTAGATTGGAAATGGTTACTGTTGCCCCACCAGGAAAAAAAAACAAAACCAGAAACCTAACCACTGTACTGATTGGACAAAATCAACTATCTTAGCAATGCTAATAGCATCTATATGCATTTAATTTCCTAGGTACTTAGCAAACAGGCAGCATTCCTTGAAAGCAGTCACAACTTTATCCAGAGAGGCTGGGTCCTGGGTGGCAGAGGAATTCCAAAGGCCAGATCCTCCTGGCTGCTCACTTCCCCATTGGTCTTTTAAACACTCAAAAGAAAAGCTCCTACATTGGGCCAAGGGCCATGGATGGTCCCCAATTTTTACCATTCTACACAAAAAGAGAGAAGGGGGGAAGAAACTCTTAGAAGTATTGCAACCGAAACCTCTGAGAAAAATTAGATTAACAAATTATTAACATTACTTCAATTAACAGTATTTGAATACTACTTTTCAAATTAGAACAGTCACTGTTCTAGGTTCCCTGTCCGTATTAGCTTATTTGATTTTTATCCTATGAGAGAAAAATCCGTACGTCCATTTCACAGATGAGAAAACAAACCCAGAGAAGTCGAATAACTTGTCAAAGATCACACAGCTGATACGAGTAACAGAAGGGCGAGGCTTCTAACCCGGGCTCTAAATCCCATGCTTATTCTACCTCTAAGGGGTTGGTTCTCTTTAGAGATTATGCTTGATGTAAAGCTCTCCCCCTAAGGAGGAAAGGAGGTTTGTAATGAGTCTGCTGGTTAAGGTTCACCTTGGGTGGGGCCAGCAGGCACTCCCATAGGACGCCCATTCTTGGCTGCTGCTGACTAGACCATGTGTCTGACCCAACATGGTCAGACAACATGGTGCGAGTCAACCCCTTGTACACACACGAAACATTATTTAGACTTCCACGACTAAAGAAAACTTTATGTGCAAAATAAATCATGGGATTTCAAAATAGAAATAAGCCACGTTTTCCCAGAATGGTCATCATAGTGTGTTAAGATCCTCAGCGGGCGGTGTGCTCGCCGGGGGAAGTCTGCAGAAGTGAAATGGGCACAGAGAACGCGGAGTCTCTGCCCCTATCCTCAGCCCTCTCTGCCGCCCTCCGGCATCCTTTGCCTTCTTCATCCTCTTTATTTTTCCACTCTTCTGGTTACGCTTCCCCCCACCTCTCCCCCTTTCCCTTCCTCCCGTTCTCACTTCCTTAGGAAGTCATTTCTCTCCTTGCTGCTCTTTTAACCTCTCTCTTCTCTGGCCCCCTTTTCTCTTCCCTCATCACCTTCCTTCCTTCTAGCTCAGTCCCCTTGGCGCCCTTCCCCATCAAAGTTGCTTCTTAAAGATACATTCAAGACCACACTAAGCAATGCCGGCATGATTATCCAATACAAATCTAATGAATAGTCCTACCAAGGGAAATAAAATAGCACCAGCCTCACTTGCCTTATCTCTGTAGAAAACTGATTGGGTTATGCCTTGAGGCCTGGGGGGAGGAAAGGAGAGATTTGCCTTGATATGGTAAGGCTAGAAGGATCGGACAGAACCATGCTTACATCCAACAGTTCTCCCCAGGCCTGACCTGGGTCCTAGATCCTCAAACAGCCTGGGAATTGTCATTACAACGACTGGAGTCATATCCATGGAAGTTTATAATGTAAAGGGACCTTAAGGGCATCTAAATTGTTTTTCTTTTTTATAGCTGAGGAAATAGAAGGCCAGGGAAATTAAGTGATGTGTCTAAAGTCACATAGATGGTCAGTGTTAGGGACCCAAGTGGTGGCCATTTAACAATAGGAGGGAGCAAAAAACCAAAAAAACAATAGAAGGGGCATCCTTTAATCTTTCTCTTTTGATTGGAAAACAAAAACAAAGAAGCCTGCAGCCAGAACTTGAAGATCCAATGGCCGGGTCCCTGCTCTGCCCTGGGCATTCCACTCCCTCCCAAGCCCACTGACTCACCTAGTAGTCAGGGCGGGGCATGCTTCTCTGGTGTGCATAGGGATTCGGTGGCTGACTGGAGACATTTGCCCTGATTTTAGGGAAGATGCTCCCATCTGCTCCGAGATTGCTGAAGCCTGTCGTCTGCTGCAGTCTCAGGTTTTGAAAGTCATTCTCAATCAAGTTCTGTTCTTCAGTATTCTTGTTTTTGTTCCTTGGGCTATAAATGGTAACAAGAATTAGGATCTGACAATGGCAGAAAGTTCCTTGACGCAAATGTTAGTATTCTTTTAAAAAAATGTTTTCAAATTCTGAAATAATTTCAAATTTACATATAAGGTACAAACCAAAAAATTACACAGAGCTTCCATGCGTCCCTCACCGAGATGCCCCAACTGTTAACATTTCTGCACCATTAAGAGTAAGTGCTTAGCCCTGATGCCCCACTACCCATAATACTTCACTACTCCGTTCAGTGTACATTCCCTAAGTTTTAGGACAGTCTCCTCATAAGCTCTCCGTAACCATCAACACCAGAACATAAACACTGATCCAACACTGCCATCCAGTTCTGTTGGTCTATGCAAATTTTGCTAATAATGTTACTATTCTTAAGTGTGCTTTTGAGTTATATATGAAAATAATCATAGAAGTCAAAGAGAAAAGACGATCTGTGATATAATTTTTCATTCAAGCAAAGTCAATGTCTACAGAAGTACCTCAGCCAATAAAACAAGTTCAAGGTATAAAGATCTTACAAGGAGAAAAAGGCATTTCCCAGGGTCTGCTGTAGCCCCTCAAGGACCTCAAGTGTAAGTATTCAAGGCCCAGTAGAAGCACTTGGAGGTGAGGGAGGTACCCACCTCCGATGAATCCTGACAGTGACCCTTCCTGCCTTCTGGCCCACAGACCTGCCCCTGCAGTGCCCTGGACCGCTGGAGTGCAGACTGGACCGGCTGCATCTGTGCTGTCTACAATGCACTCCCAGGATGACTGTCTCCCACCGGAAATGTCATAAGGGAAGACCCACTCACCCTGTGACCCCAGTAGCCAGCCTAGCCTACAACAGAGTTCTCGCCTTTCGGGAGCACTCCTGTCTAAGGAGAGGAGGAGAGGAGCAGAGGAGAAGCTTCATTCCCTTTGAAATGGTCAAGAAATTGTAATTCTTGATGTGTTCCCAAGAATCAGAATCTGAGGCTGAACTAGGAGCAAACCCAGCTCTGCAGCAGGAAGCAGGAGCTGAGAAACATAGCTGTCGTGAGGTCACAAGGTTCCACACGCAGCCGCTGAGGATGCTGGAGACCCAAGACAGTTAGGCAATCCTCCTAAGGAAGGAGGAGACAGCCTTGCTCCAGAACAGAATGTTCTGGCCATCTTCCTAGAAAAGGGAAGGTCATACTTCTGGTTCTCAGCTTTGCATCCTTATAATAAAGGCTTTGGGGAAGAGTTAATATCAAACTGGAATAATAAAAAAGAAAGAAGAAACAAAATCTATTTATCCTCTCACATTATAGTGCGAAAATACCTATTCTGCCAAAATATAAGATATGAGTGAAATGTTACAAACAAGCAGCTTGTTTTTACCAAAGTGCATCCCCACTTGGCACATTTCAAATGGAATAGAGATAACAGTGTTCTCTCTCCCTGTTAATGGCGGGAACTTTATCATAAACCTTAACAATATATATATTTTTTAACACAAAGGGCACCTGAGTGGCTTAGTTGGTTAAGTGTCTGACTCTTGGTTTCAGTTTAGGTCATGATCTCAGGGTTGTGAGATCGAGCCCCAAGTCGGGCTCCATGCTCTTGGGATTCTTCCCTCTGTCTCCCCTCCCACCCCCCCGCATGTGCTCTCTCTAAAACAAGCAAAAACCAAAAACAACAACAACAACAACAAAACAAACTCACATGAAGGACACAAAATTATGTCTATACCATCATTTAAAAAGAAAAAAATCTGGAAAGATATATGCCAAAATGCTAGTTGCCTCAGGGTGGTAAGTTTTGTGAGTGGTTTTTTACTTGTGCTCCTTTACACATTTTTCTGTTTTCTTCATAATCACGAATGGCTTATATAAGCCAAAGCAAATTAAGGTAAGAGAAAAAGCCAACAGTGTTAGAGGGGTCTCGCCTCATCTCCCTTCTCTTGCCCCAGCAAGGCTAGGTATGTTTTGAACCTGGAGCGTGATGCCGGTGGTGCTAAGCCCTAGGGAAAGGGATACGTCCACTCCATACCTTGCTAAGAAGATCAGTGCAATCACCAGGCAAAGAATGAGGGCACCGCCAATGCTGCCCACGACAGTGAGGATCAGCTGAAATTCTGAAAAGGAAAAGCAGAGAGTAGGCACAGCCTCCCACAAGCAGCCCCCATTGCCTACTGCACAGGTACGTGTGTTCCCAGAGGTTCCTGGCTGTGAAGACAATCAGGTTGTGGTCCCCGCCCCCACCAGGGCCAGCTTGGGTGCCAGGCTGGGGGGGTACTGTGTCTTCAGAACCCAACCGGAAGAGGCTGCCTTGCCAGATAAAAGACCATAAACAACAGAGGCGGCCGTGATGGGGGGGTGGGCAGGGCCTTCCTGGGCTCTGCGGACGATGAGACATCAACGGAGGGGAGCATCCCATCCTAACCTCTGCTGCCTCTCCTGCCCACCACGTCTGACCTTGCAGATAAGCAGGGGGAGCGAGGCTGGAGTTAAATTTGTCACTAACAGAGGCTTCATGGAATCAGTGAGGGGAGAGCTCGTGGCGACCATTCTCTTCCTCTAGTCTGCTCTGGCTGGCGCTACCGAGCCTGGCCAATGTGGCTACGAGCTGGCCTGTGCGGACGGCACCCACGGCAGATTTCAAACACACAGTATGAGAAAAAACAAACCTAAAATTTCTCATGGAGAAACACTTACTGATGACATGCTGAAAAATATTTTTGATACATGAAGTGAAATAAAATGTTATTAAAATCAAGTTCACTTATTTCTCTTTAATAAATGTAGTTAGGATTTTTAAAATTTGAAATTAAATATGAAGCTCCATTACATTTCTATTGGACAGTGCTGTTCTAGAACCCTCTGTCTCAGATTTCTGCTCCATGACTGCCATAGAGGCCACCTCCAACCTGGATTCATAGGGGTGTAGACCATGTCTGCAAAGGGATTTGGTCCAAACCTCTCACTCTGTAGGTGTGCATGCTGAAAGCCCAGAAGGAAGGAAAGACTTAGCAAATCCAGCCTTGCAACGAAATACAACAGAAAGTGAGAGCATTTTTCATCACTAACTTTGTGGCTGCCTGAGAGGCCAACAGTAATGTTTCCTTCATCTCGGATCATCAGTCTTTAGTTCATTATGTAAAATTTAAAATGTAATATAATTAAAAATATAAAGTTAGTATTGTCCCAATCTGGTGGGGGTGGGGGGTGGGAGAGAACGAAAGCACCTGAACTTGCAACAACACATCACAAGCTAGTAAATGGCTCGGGGACCCGAAGACTTGAATATTTCAACGGTTTTTAGTTCTGCTCTCCCATGACCACAGACATTTTTGGAATATACTGGTCTTTTATCTTTGCTAGTGATGGAAAATGAACAGAATGTTAGGACGCCCAGAGCCCACCTCTTGGGCTGGGTCCTGTTATTTTCTATAACGGGGTGCGGCTGCCCAGGATCTGAAGGCAGGCATGGGACGGCATGACCCAGAATGCAAACTGCAGGCAGACTGTCTCACTCTTTATGAAGGGAGCCAGAGACTTTGGAGTCCTGGGCAGAATTTTGAATGCGTTCCCTATTTCTCAGAAGCTTAATAACAAAGCAGAACTTTTATACTCACTGTCTTCACAGTTGACTCCGCTGTAGCCAAATGCACACCTAAAATACAATAATGGAAACCATGGTACAGTCTCTGCGGGGAACATGTCAGAGTTCCCACCCAACCGCCATGTCTTCCTTTCCATCTGCCTTCATTCTACCTGCCCCCCCTTCTCCTTCTCCTCTTTCTCTTTTCTTCCTTATGCTCCTATTCTTCCAGGTGAGCAACTTCCATGGAGCTCTGGAAGGCTGAAGAGGGGACACAATTCCAATTGGTCCCATTTCCTACTGACTGAACCCCCCATCCTCTGAGCTTCAGGAAGATCCAGCAATTCAAACTCAGCTGAAGCCCAGAGGCATGGAGCATTGCGGTGTGGGGGAGGGGGCCTCGGCTGCAAGGCCCCACGGCTCTGCCACCTAACTGCTGCCCTGTAAGTTGGGGCTTGTTACTTACGTTCTCTGAGCTTCACATTGCTCCCTGGCAAACGGGGAACTAATTCGTTCCTGACAGTGTTGCTGTGAGACATGTATTACCTAGCACGGTTCCTAGCACACAGAGAATGTTCAAGAACCATCAGTGCTGATGACGATGGTCTGATGGTGCTCTTATACCTACCAATGTATGGCAGCATTCCAACATCCTGACCCTAAACCCATGCGTGTATCTATACGTTCTATCCTTTGGCTAGCTCCCGTTGTGGTAAGATGAAAAAGGAACGACTTCTTACTCTTGACAGACCCCACGATCATCTTTCTTGTAGCCCGACAGGCACACACATTCAGGGTTCCCGCCGCTCTTATTCACTAAGCACTGCTCATTGTTGTCTGCATTGCAGGTGTCAGGACACTTTACAGCAGGAACTTCAAAAGAACATTTCTGAGTTATTTGCAAAAACAACCCCTTCAACCCCAAAGTGATATGTCACAGAACACCATTTTTTAATACTGCTTTCTCTGGGTCAAGTGGGGGGCTGCCTGGCTGCGCGCACGGCACGCTTTCTGCGAAGATGCGCACGGGCTGCCTCGCCAGGTTCGCGTGTCTAAAGCCCAAATCCACCCCCCTCAGACTCTGGAATGCACATGGAACCGTGAGCAGTAAAGCTTGTATTTTGCAAATGAAAAAGGAGAGAAGGTAGGCATTGAGAAGAACGCTTAACAAGCAAGTGAACACTCACCAACACACAAAGGGACCTGGGGGTTAGGTCTTTCCATCCCCTGCTTGCATTTACACAGCAAACCATCGCTACAGTTGTCTTGCTCATTTTCCTTTTCACAACCATAATAATCACACAGAGTTTGAGCTGAGAGGCACAGACAATTCAGAAATACGGTCAGTGAGACAATAGGGAGAGGAATTAGGTCAGTGCGATAAATAAATGGTTGTTGTTTTAGGCCACTAAGCTTGGGGGTGGTTTGTAACACAGCAAGAGTGAATCGTTCCAGCTGTGCCGGGGGGCTGGCGGGTCAGCCTAAAGGGGAAACAGGGCAAGGAAGGCTTTCTGGGATCATCTGGAAGCTACAGCTTGGTATAAAGCCTTCTTGTTTCTCCTTTCTTCCTACCTTCCCACCTTCCAAAGAGAGGAGCAAACTGGTCAGTGTGATGACATGGGGGGGGGGGGGGGAGGGCGGGGATGGCTGGAAAGGAGTAGAACCAAGCAAGGGAGGAGAGGGAGGAAGAATGCCTGGTTCACTGGAACTGGGCCCATCTGTGGATTCAAGTCTCCTGCTCTTCTTGCCCCCTTCTCACAGAGAACGGAAATGTTTACAAAAAGGTAGGTCTTCGGGTGCCTGGGTGGCTCAGTTGGTTAAGCGACTGCCTTCGGCTCAGGTCACGATCCTGGAGTCCCGCATCAGGCTCCCTGCTCGGCAGGGAGTCTGCTTCTCCCTCTGACCCTCCCCCTCTCATGCTCTCTCTCTCTCTCTCTCATTCTCTCTCTCAAATAAATAAATAAAATCTTTAAGCAATAATAAAAAAAAAAGGTAGGTCTTCAAGGGAACTTCGAAGAAAAGTATTGAATGCTTACAATTATATCCTGTAAAGTCACCCTTGCTGCTTTGAATTGCTTTGGAAATTGACGCAGACACAGTCTTCTCACTTTCTTTTGTAGTTTCTGCGAAGATGTTTAGGACGTCCACCACAGCAGCATTGTCCCCAGCACGCACTGCTGATCTCGCCGAAGGAGAGGTGCTGAAAATGAAAGGAATCCATCGCTTGATGAACTGAACCGAAGGATCCACAGACTGGTCTTCAGAACCTCCCACACTCCTGTCTCCTCTAGTCCTGACCCACTGTCCTACATCCACAACTGGGGCCCAAATACGGGGGGCCTGGAGGTGCAGTAAGATGGCGGTTTATAGGCCCAGAGATCTAGCTCTCTTCGATGTGTGCTCAGAGGCCATCTCTAGCTAAACAATGCCCTGTTGGAGGATATTTTTTTTTTAAGATTTTATTTATTTATTTAATTGACAGAGAGAGAGAGCGCGCGAGAGAGGGAACACAAGCAGGGGGAGTGGGAGTGGGAGAAGCAGGCTTCCCGCAGAGCAAGGAGCCCGATGCGGGGCTCGATCCCAGGACCCTGGGGTCATGACCTGAGCCGAAGCTCAATCAACTGAGCCACCCAGGCGCCCCCCTGTTGGAGAATATTGAGAAAAATTGTGGACAATCCTTTTTAGGAGCTAGAAGCCTGGAGCTAACCAGAAGTAGAACAGGTAACATCTGAAACTAAGTTGTCCCTTTCTGTAGAAAATCAAGAGTAGGTCTCTTGCTGAGCTTGTACACGTGATACACTGAAATAAGGAGAGTGGGGTGTAGGGAGCATGAGCGAAGACCACTACCTCAGAGCCCCAGATACTGAGTGCCTGCGCCCCAAGAACCGCTGTGCCAAGTTCTAATTCTTCCACTGTCCGAGAGGAATCAAGTGATACAACCACTAAAAGAGACGGGGGGGGAAAAAGGACTTTCAAAAACTCCTTCCCTCTCCAACCTATGGCTGTGTGTCTTCAAGACTCATGACTTTTGAAGAAACATCAGAAGCTTGGAAACATAGCCCAACCCGCTTAGGAAATGTTTACAGCCATGTTAGTTCTTCAGAACTATCGAGAAAATCCAAAATCCAAAATCAGAACCAAATTCTGTTTTTTAGGAACGGTCACCACAAAGGAGTGCAAAAAACAAAATGGGCTTCAGATTCTAGCTGAAAATGATTCATTCACGATAGGATTTAGAGGTGGCCATAGAATGTACAGGGCAGTGAGCAAAGGATATTTGATACAAGTCATTTGATAAAGAGATCAGTTGAAAAATGACCAGAAATCTCTGGTATCATTTTGCAGCAGGGTCTAGGAAAGAAAAGCCATCACAATTCATTCATTCAAAGAACCTACTAGCGCACACTCTAATTTAGGGGGCAAAATCTTACAATGAAAGGAACAATGGAACCACTGCATATTTAATAACAGAACGGCATAGCATAAATGGTCAGAGCAGTAGCCTTGGTGCTAAGAGGCCTGAGATCTAGACCCAAGATGGCCACCACCTTTTGTGGACCAAGACTAGTCACAGCTTCCCTGAGCCTGAGTCTCCTCCTCTTTCCTAAGAGAGATTTGCAAGAGAAATTCTGAAGATCCTTCCAATTCCAACGTGGATGCTGTAGAGAAAGAGCTCAGGGAGCAGAGGAGAGAGCACCAGACTGGAGCCGAAGAAATGGCTTTCTAGGTGAGAGAGGGCCCTGCACACCCCCTGAGGTGCCCGAGCTGGTTCGTCTCTAACACTGAGCTCACAAGTAGAAGAACGCTCCTGGCTCCCTTTCAGTAAGTCCTTAAAAAGCAAACATATGCCACAGTATCGGGGAACACGCCCCCCCTCCCCGGGACCAGCTCTCCATCACACTTGCAAGGTTCCCTGTTGGGGAAGGGACACAGACAGGAACTGCTACGTGTTGAAATCGACTATGCGCCAGTCACTCTGTGTGGGTCATCTTTCACATGGTATCCCACTTACTCCTCCTGAGGTTCCAGGAAGTCAATCAGATCATCCCAGCAATGCAGATGACATGAGAGGTTGAAACACCTGCCCAGTCACACAGCAGGAAAAGTGCCAAGGCCAGGAATGAAGTACAGATGTGGCTGACGCCACCACAGCTCACGAATCCTGTCTTTATCCAGTCATCCCTGATGCACGAACTCCCTGCTGTCCACTAAACCAAACCTAAAACATGCCCTGAAACAATGCAGAGCACTTAGCAGCAGTCTGCTGTGTACCTACGTCCAGCTTCAGGGCCTCTGCCTGCTGCTTGCCCTTGCCATGTGAGCCCCATGCCTCCCATTAGGCTGCCTGCTGGCCTCCTGGCTACCAACCACAGAGGCCCCTTGTTCACCGCCAAGCTCAAAACTCCCCACTTTTATAGGTCTCCTCTGAATTTGTATGTATCAAATATGTATACTGTGTCTTATTTCACAAAGGATTTGACAAAGCTCATAAAGACAGATGCAACAGTAAAACCATAAAACATAACCACATTAGGGCTGCTTTCTCTGTACAACTCCATTCATCCTAGAACATTCTTTCCCTGGCCTGCAGCGCATGTGTATTAATATGCTTCAGAGAAGGCCACCATGGAATCAGCAATTTCTTGAGACTCCTCTGCCTCTTTGGGTCCCCAAATAAGCATCCAACACCAGTCATTGCATATTGATACATTCAATAACTGCTTGTTCTTCCTGCAGAAAAGAGCTCACTGCTGGCCCTTCAGTAGCCAGGTATGTGATTGGGATATTCCTGTCTCCCTCACTCCCTCCCCTGCCTTGAGAAAAGAGATGACCGTGAGCCATTCATTCTCTCCCTGCCCTCTGGAGTGCACATTCTAGGGCTTGACCAGGTGTGGTTTTAGCCAAGGAATGAAACCAAACAAACTGATCAGGGCGATACCCTGGGCCACATGTACAAGTTGCTGAGGAGCCAATCACAGACAGCATCTTGCTGCCCCAAGCGCCCGCCTGCCCATCCAGGCCAGGGTCAGTGTGACATGGAAAGCAGAGCCCTCTCTAGCACTCAGACTGACCACCTCTGCTTGTGACTTGCCACTGGAGGGCCTTAGATAACTCAAGAGAAGACCAGAAGTTAGGCAGACACACACCTGCCTCCGAAGTATCCCATCGGTCCATAGCAAACTTACCTTACTTTATCAATTACAGTCTGTCCGTAATCAGAATTGCCAAATGCGTCCTTAAACTGTGGAGGAGGAGAACAGATTTAATAACTACCACAAAGAGGGGGAAAATGTGATACTGTATCTGAGTTTTCACACAAACACATTTCTAACCTCATTTGTATAAATACACGTGGCTCATCACAGCAATTTGTCCCCATTTGATTTTTGTTCTAAAATAATACGATTCTGGGGCACCTGGGTGGCTCAGTTGGTTAAGCGACTGCCTTCGGCTCAGGTCATGATCCTGGAGTCCCTGGATCGAGTCCCGCATCGGGCTCCCTGCTCAACGGGGGGTCTGCTTCTCCCTCTGACCCTCCCCCCTCTCATGTGCTCTCTCTCATTCTCTCTCTCTCAAATAAATAAATAAAATCTTAAAAAATAAATAAATAAATAAATAAATAAAATAATACGATTCTGCTATGTCAGAGTTATCCAGGAAAAATACCTAAGGCACCCAGCCAAATTAACGATCATACTTTTAAAAATAAGGTGACTAACTTACTCAGTTCGTGTTTTCAAAGTCCCCGTGAAGTTTTGCATATTTGGTTTGCACGTTTGTTAGACTTCTCTATAAGCATGCTTCGTGCACTCATCAATTCTCCCAGGGAACACTTACTTACTTGCCCACCTTGCCAAGCATCATGCCAGAAACAAACGGTGGAGACAGGCGGGTCCTGCCCTGTGATGAGTCAGGGGACTACACCATGAAGTGGGGAGAGGTGAGCGCCATAGGGCAACACAATCTACCACAGAAATTCAAAGACACTCTCTTCCAGTTGCCGAGAACGAGGGAGGGCTTCATAAAGGAGACCACCCTTAAAGCATTTTTGGAATCGGTGCCAGGATGGGGAGAGGAGGAAGGAGCCTATACACAAATGTTCAGAAGCAGCGTGCCTCAGAAGGGAGAAGGCTGAACTGGGAAGAATACCTGAAGTCAAATTTCTCCATGTCAGCTTTTGCATAGTGGCTTTGAACTTCGCCTTTCTCCTCAGAAACCTGGAGAAAGCAATAAATTCCTACCGCATAGGGCTATAATGTTGTCAAACGAGATGGAATATATGACACATGGCTTTGGGAGCTGGACGGGGCTCTAAGAACGGGTACATCTTACTAGGCAGAATTGTGTTGAGAGCAGACAACTCTAGATACTCGCAGAGAAGGGGCCAGAGATAAAGCTGGAACTTCTGGCACGGGTGAGGTGGAGGTGGGGTGAGGGTCCCAATGAGGATATAAGTTCATTGATGCCAAGAATGGGGGTTTGTTTTCTCTTTCTGATGACATAACATCCCCCCACCCCCACCCCACAGCACTCAGTACAGGGCAATCCCCAGGAAATGTCCTACAGACACTGGCTGACTGATGACTGAACAAATTAAATGTGAAAGACATGACCTTGGACATGTCTTCCCCTCTGTGGGCCCCAACTTCCGTATTTTATTATATGAGCATTGAACTGAGTTGGTGCAACCTTTTCATAATCCATGACTTTTTATTATTTTTCTCCTCATGGCGATTCAATGCTTTAAAGATCATGGCAACCAATGTCATTTTAGAAAAGATGTTATTTCTCTTTTATTCTAGTCAAATTCAAATAAATTTGATGCTCTAATTCATCTGGGTAGCCTTATATCCATAATACATCTACATGCCTTTTAATTCTTTTAAATGCTAGGAATAGCTGGTATTTCTGTAAACCATCAGAGGCCTGGCAGTTTACTTAGGACAAGTTCACTGGATGACCTCCAAGGTCCCTCTCATTTACCTACTGACCATTGCCCATTTAATTTTCTTATTCCCAAAGAAGAGAGATTACAAAATTGGCATCTGGCATAGGAGATTTTTTTTTTTTTTTTTTTTTAATCTTCCAGGTCACCCTTGAGGATGTTGGGATATACATGTCTCAAATTGAAGGGCTGTTAAGTCCGGACAAGAAGGCAGGAGCCATCCAAACAGGCCTGCCAGGACTCTATGCACAACACAGCCAGCAGGTGAGGAGGCGTTTGAGAAGCAGCTTTGTGGTCAGGCAGGTCTGAGTTCAAATGCCCACCTCCTCACTCATCAGCTGGGTGACCTGCGGTCAGTTACTTAACCTTCCTGATCCTTGGTAGCCTCATCAGCAAAACAGCACCGTAGTACCATCTTCCCCACTGGGCTGTTTTCAGAATTTGAAATATTACACATAAAATGCCAGGCACATACGCAACAGGGAAACTCCAAATCCCTCTGCAGACTGTCCATTTGGATCCAGCTGGGTAGAAAATGGACCCTGCGAGACGTCGCAGGGCCTGAGCTAGAACTACCCCGGCTACAAAGTCTGCTAAGGGGACCTTGAAGAAAGTCAACTGTCTTTTTTTTTTTTTTTGTCTCTGGGGAGTCGCAAAAGAGTTCTGGCATATCCTCTTCAGAAGAAAAGCTTCCCGGAAATTAGAAGAATGCTCCATCCCCTCCCTGGTCCCTCTGAAATTATCAAGACCTAACTGAGATCAAGTCTTAAAATTGGTATCTGAAAGGCATAGGCGTGTAGCAGGAGGGGTCTTTTGGACACCCATACCCACAGCAAGCTTGGGGGGATGTAGTGGTCACTGCTCAGTAAAGCCACGAGACAACGGAGGGGTTCCCTGGAAATAGGAACACATTGATGTTGCTATCCTCAACGTACTGAATATCATCCAAGTGGGCCAATTGGAATGTAGGTCCAGGATAAGAGGTAAGTCATGGCCAGCTGGTCCATCATGCTTAGATGTTATGACAAGGGGCCAAGGCCAAGGCCGGGTTACTAAAGCCACGGTTTTTATCCTAGCAGCACCAGGCACGGGCTGTTTGGTCATGAGCACCAGCGCTCTCTGTGCTATCTGTAAATCATTCAGACAATGATGTTTTATGTTCTACTAATTCTGCTAGCAAAACTCTTTTGTAATAAAATAATTCTGAATTGAAAGATACAGTCTTCAATGTCTTCTTTAGTTCTTAAAAGTGTTTCTACACTTATGGTTCTAAGACATATTTACAGTCTACTGTTTTTTCCCTTTAAAATTAAACTTTCAGAAACATTGGCTCTATGTCCTCTATATGCTCTTTCAGATCTAACATCTGTGGTTCCAGAATGGAGATTTCCATCCCTTTTCATGTTGACACATTCACTCACAATAATCAAAATGAAATGAAGCTATTGTTCATTTTGACATTTTTAATAGTGGAGAAAAGTAACAGATATTCAAAAAAAAAAAAAAAAGCCAGACTGGTATAGAAATGTATGCAAATTTGATCATAAAAAGGAAAAAAAAATCTTTTCAATTCTATGAAAATAATTTTATTTTAAAACATCATATATTTATGTGTCCATTTAAAAATATTGTAGGGACACCTGGGTGGTTCAGTCGGTTAAACTTCCGACTCTTGATTTCAGCTCAGGTCTTGACCTCCGGGTCATGAGTTCAAGCCCCACGTTGGGCTCCACGCTGGGCATGGCTACTTAAAAAAAAAATTCTAATAGCTTCTGTATCAGTGGGTATGGCATGGCTGGAGCAAGCTTCTAAAGGCCCTCTGCCATGCTGGGTGTTACCCATCAAGGTGCAGGATCATGGGGAGGCCCAAGGGTCCCAGAGGAGGGGCCTGGGCAACCAAGCACCAAGGGGGTTAGGACAGCTGCAATTTACCAACCAGTAAGGATGCCTTTCACTATTTTAGCAACTGGAATAGCTGAACCAGTGTGTACTACCTGAACACCAGTCCTCCATGCTGCAAGAAAGTGTTAGAATGAAGAACACTTATATAGGAAGAAAGGTTGGAAAATACTTACAAAATCAGTAATTTGAATATGTAATTTTTGATAGGCCACAGAATTTTCATCTCCCAAACCAGATACTTCTGATAGTTTTACTGTAATATTTCCAGGGAATAACTTTCCTGAAATTCAAGCAGAATCTTTTTATAATATTTAATGTAAAGAGGGTTAATTTCCATTTTGTTTAAAATATAGATTATTCTTAAAAATTCTAAACATTATGATATTATAGGAAGTCTGGAAAGATGAAAAATGTGACCCAAAATTCCATCCAACCCAACACAACCATTTTTGTTTTGGTGTATTTCTCCTAGTTCTTCTCTTCCATGCATAGTTTACATTGTCATAATGCCATGAGTCTTTTTTATCTGTTACATAATAAGCATTTTTCCAAGTAATTACCTAGTCTTCATTTCTATCTATCTATCTATCTATCTATCTATCTATCTATCTATCTATCTATTTGAGTAGGCTCCACGCCCAATGTGGGGCTTGAATTCATGACCCTGAGATCAAGAATTGCATCTCTACCGACTGAGCCGGGTGTCCTCCCCATAACTATTATTTTTTCTTTAAATAACTATTACTTTTAGAGGCTGCATAATACTCTATGAAAAATGTGTTATCTTCATTGATAGTCATTTTTTGGTTTTCACGCTCTTGATTATTTAAAAGTAAAAAAGTTTGCAGCAAACATCTTTATGCACAAACCTTTCTATTATTTGGGGTCATTTACTTAGATCCCCAGAAATGAGATTATTAGTGCTGAAATATGAACACCTGTTAGGCTTTTGGAATACCCCTGTGGTCCCTCTAGTTTCCACTGAGATAAAGCAGGAGCCTTTGTTGCCTATAAATTATCTTCTACCTCTACTAAACCAACGGAGTCACCCAGGTGCCCCAAATCCTCTACCTCTACCATTCTGGAGGCTCTTTTTTGACATTACTTTGCATTTTCTGTTCTACTTTAGGTCTGAAATGCAGCTCTGCAGGGTTCATCCCTTGTAACTCACCTTTTTTGCATGTGGAAGAGTTATAGTAATATCCTAATGTACACAGGCAAAAATGGATATCATTCAGGATAACACATGAAGAACCACCTTCACAGGGAGCTCCTTGGCAAGGATTGCTGGGAACTGAGAGAGAGGAAAAAGATATTAAAAATCCACAGAATGACAACAGATGACACTGAGAAACATACTTTAAAATCTTCATGCCTCCCTCCTGGGCACGTTCTAGTCTTTGGTTGAA